TGTAGAAACGGCTGGGAGGGCAGTAACGAGTTACTAAAACGTGCATGCAAATCCAGCCGTAATATTAATCAATTCTTTATTATTATAGTAATTAAAATCGTCGTATTTACGTCCTCGGCCGGTGCATCTTTCATCTACTCTGCCGAAAATGCCCCTTAATGCAAATTAGACGAGTCGATGCATCCGCGTAAACCTCGGTCCTAGTCGATGGTTTCGGCCAATGGACAAAGAATAATACGCATTAAAATGGATTTAATGCGTATTATTAGCCATAGAAGAAGGGCGAAAGGAGTACGAGTGACGTCAAACAATCAACAGCTTGTTAAATAAATTCATATTAACAAGGTAAAAGTAAAGTAACAAAAGACTGCCGACTCGGCATTCTTTGTCCTACGGTGCTCGCCTTCATAAGCTGGCAGCCTCTTCTCCGCTAATCAAGCCATTTGCCAAGTCATTTTCATTCATTCTCCACTTTTGCTTGTCGTTGACAAGAAACTCTTGCTTAGCTTATACATGCAAATTAATCCAATTTCCTTTGCTTCGCATTCACCAGGAGAAATGTATATATATCCCAACGAGCTGCGAGCAGGATGGAGAAGAAGGAATGGCAGAAAGGAAAAAACCCTCCCTCGCCCGTTAATTAGCAACTCGTGGAGACTCGGCAATGTTGTAGGGGCGTCCGGTCATGTTAATTAGTTGTCGTGCACTTTCGTCTCACTAAATTACAGGAGATGTCGTGTCCGGTATTAATTAATCGCGTAGATGCTAGTAAATAAAATCCATACACACCGGGGAGATAAAAATCTATAAGAATATCGCGTCGAAAAGAAACTGGTCCGCATTTGATTAAAACTTTATAAATTTGCATCCGTTTCCTGCAGCATTTTGTCCCGCAATCCGCACAGGGCTCTTCGGGTCTATACGGGGCATAAGTACGATACTGCGTAATTTGCTTCTTTCCCTGCATCTTTGTCTTAAACAGTCGGGGGCGTTGTAAATCGGGCCTACTTCTTCGCCAATTCGCCCACCGTAGATGGATAAATGAGCCCATTTCGGCACGAAACGGGACTCGGGGCCCGTAATATCTCCCCGAACTCAAATATGCATGCGGAGTAGAGATAGAAGGACAGAATGTTCGATAAGAGTTAGTAGAACATCTGTAAACCGTATTGATTACGTGCAGCACGAGAGACTAATATTGCATTTATGATTGATTGTTGTTGGATATGTCAAAGGTCGTTACAGAGGAGTTATTTATTCAACTGGCAGCATCTTGTTGATTGTCCCGCAGAACTGGTAGTGCTCCGCTTCCCTCTCCCTATCTTTGGAAACACTTGTGGAAGCTGACATGCCGGAAAATCGAACACATCTTTCGATTTTCCAGAGTCGGCCATTACTTACGGGATGGCCGCGAGAGAGACGTTGATGCTCGATTTTCAAACAAGAGGAAAATCTGCGGAAAACCGATAGATCACCCCTTTAAGTACGCGGAGTTTTGGATTCCGTGTTCGGATGTGGGAGAAAAAATGGACAAGTGCAACGTTATCCGGGTTATTAATTAAAGCAACGAGTTTTCGGCATTTCTCCCCCTCGAATAAGTTCGATACTTTAACTTCACGGGTTGTTAAAAATGGAGGAGAGGAAGGAAAAGAAAAATACTTAGTAGAAGGAGTCGCTTCCCCGCTGTCCGGAGGGATGCCGACCGGGATTACGTTTCTTTCAGATATTCGGTGAGATCAAGAAGGCAAAGGGGGAAGCCAAGAGGCTTTATTTCTTTCCATTGCACTTATACAGGTCCTATTAATAAAGAGCAAGCCGAAGATGCTTCGTTAAGCGCGCAATGGACGAAACATAACGACCCAGGGCCGTCTCGTCGCTATGGTAACGATGCTGTCTGTGGAGTTTTGATAAAGGGGGAGGGAGGTGGAATTATGGGATCTTCCCCCTTATCTCTTTATACTAACCGCCCCGATGATACTCCAGCCATAAAGTCTACCTTGCTGTTGAAGAGGTCGTGGGGTGCGGCGGATCTGTAAGCAGATTTGCTGCATCTACACAGATGACGCAAACAGGCCGGCCTGATCAATTGTGCATGAATAATCCAATCAGGAGAACGTGGCCGCTTTGGACGGATAAAGGAGTGCGCAGTATTCGCTTCTCCCTTCTCCTCCTCCTCTTCCATTCTTTGGCTTTCTCCCGTTACCTCGCAGGTTTCGGGGCTGATTTTGGCAGTTTCCGTCCACTGGTTAGCCCACAGAACGAGACTGTTTTTAATTTGGGCCCTCTGGGTTCATCTTTGAGCGCTGACAACTTTATTACTGCGGTAACATTAATATCGGAGTGATTGCAGTTTTATTACACGTCGTTAGGTGAGCGAGAAATGCACTATATTACTTTAGTAGCATTTACTAATTGCGCCAGGACTGCCACTCGACAACCTTCTCCGATTTGTTCCTTCTGGGTTTTTAAGGCATGCCCAGCAATTTTCGGCTCTTCTCGTCTTATGGCGGGGTGATTAAATAAACCTTGCCGTTGTGCGGATGTGCTGGCACACACGGACACACTGCGGCGCAGGGAGCGGATATCAATGGCACCTATCATGTGGAAGGAAACGGATGCCACTAACCAGTGATTGGGTGATTCACACCAGACCCCATAACTCCGATATGGCCCTTGTCGGGATCAGAATAGACCAATTACCTTACTCTTTCTCGTTCGGGGCCACAAATCATGCGGCATGATGTCATCGTTTCTCCCATGCCCCCATTATGAGAAAATTGCTTCGATTATAATTAATTATCCTCCGCACGAAATTTTTCTTCTGATTTATAGAGGCTCTTAAAACGGGGCCCTTTTAAAATCTCGTAAAGGAAACCCGCAAATTTAAGATATTTTTATACGTTTCTAAATATTGCAACTCAGTTTTCTAGAAATGATCTTTATTCCCAAAACACCTTCTTCTCGGACGATTTAAGGAGATTGTACGGGTTGGCCCCGTTTCAAAGTCGACACCAACTACAGAAAATGAGATTCTCCTCGTTCCGTACACAAATTCCAACGGTCTTGGATTTTTATTGGGCCAAATAAAGCGGGGTTAACCGACTTTAGGGCCAGCCTTACGCGCCTAGTAAAATTAACGTAATGGCGGGGACGAGGGAAGAGTGGAAAATAGCAGAATGTGCTAGCAGATTGTTTCGTCTACAATAGAGGAAATGGGCAAAGAAGTTCTCCTCCTCCGGGAGAAGCCGTTCTTGTATTTTGTCGCCGAGCAATCGTTACAGAATGAAACTTTTACGACTTCCTTCCGAAGTAACTCGACTCGACGTTTCCTATCATTATTTCCTTTTTTCAAACTTATAGAGTGAAAAGATATTGACTCCGATTTTGCAACCTTTTACGCTCTTTTCCTCTTATTTAAAAATAGAAGAACTCTTCATCTATTAATAAAGCGGGACCTTTCCTTTACTTTATTCACTCTTCCACATTATTGAATAAGATAAACGTCCTTTCTTCTTCTTTTTCTTCTCCTTTTTTTAATAAAGAAAAGTAATTCTTTCCTTTTTTCTACACCGAAAATAATTTATCAAATTTTTCGCTTTTCCTTACTCTTTTTTTATTATTAATTCGCAACTTTTCCATAAAAATTAATTCTTTAATTGAATTTTTTGTCGTTTTTATTAAAATTAAAAGACTTTTGACTATTTTTTTACCTCAAATTTAACGTGGGATTTATATAGAAGAGTCCGCTTAAAATATTTCTACATTTTTGACTGATATTTATAGTGTCTTAGGAGATTCCTCTGTATTCGGAACACTTTTTTGCGTGTATTTTCTAAAAAAAGTCGCATTTTCCCCTAGAGAAAGGGCATTTTAAAAGGACACGTGTTCTCTCCGTGCTTTGGCAGAAGGCAGACAAACAGAACACACGTTTTTATAATTTGCATCGTCGAGTTTACTAAATCGAGCTTTAAGGAAGTGAATTATAAATTGTATAGTCCCGCTGTAGATATTACAAAAATGCTTCTTTCTGCTGCAGGAGTCTTGTTTCTAGTTAATTTTAAGTGTGTTCGATTCGTCCATTTGCGTGTGAATTATTTGAATTCATTTCATTCCTCGCCACAGAATTAGTTTGCGGCATCAACAAATTTCTATAATCTTTCGGCCAATTTTCTAAACCTTCATCAACTTTTCACTTCTCGAATGATTTCTTCCACCGACAATTTTCTAAAGCCATAAATTTTCTATGTTCTTTGGCCAATTTTCCGAGTCTCGATTAATTTCCGGTTCCTGTAGCAAAATTTGGAATTCTTTGCAAATTATTAGTGAGGGACACGTTAAAAAATTCATTGGACTCGTCTGTACCGGCTGGGTTGCTCTCGTTCTTCTTTTATTAAGAAAACAAAAGTGATTGCGAGGTGCAGAAGTAAAAGGAAATTTTCCAAGCTGCACACCACCTGTGTAATTGCAGAGGGTCCTTGGTTATTTCCAAGCGTGATTTATTGTGTAAGTACCGGTCAGTCAGGCTTAGAGCTGTCGTCTTTCTGATGAAAACAAATGGTAGTGGAATCAATTAGTTAGCAGACTCCAGCCTCTCTAATCCCATCCACCGAGCCTCTGACGTCTTTCCTCTCTCACTTCTCTCGCTCTCTAATCTTTCCTTCTACGTCCAGACTTTTTACCTATTCGCCATTTTAACTTATTCTAGAGTAAAATTCGAAAATTCTTTGTCTCGTTTCACCTAAAAGAATCGTCTTCTCCTCTTGAAAAAAAGGAAAGAAACGGCGGGATGCAATTTATGTCAGCGTAGATCTCTTATAATAAAAAGACTGGCGTCTGACAGAAAGACATTATGTCTAGGACCTTAAAGATTGAAGTGAGAGTTGAAATTTTTCAAAAATTCGCCGCACTCTTTACCAGCCCGGAGCGCAAATACAGTAAATTTGCTAGCGATTTTTCTCCTTTGTATATAAGAGAGATGATTGTAATCGTATTCTTTACAGGTGATGCCAGTGTAGGCTCGGGAGACGGAACAGGCGAAGATGATGACGACGACAGAGGGAAGAAGAGACAAAAGAAAAGAGGAATCTTCCCGAAAGTCGCCACAAACATCATGAGAGCCTGGTTGTTCCAACATCTCACTGTAAGTCAATGTTTTACAGAAGAATCTTTTCAAAGCAAAGCTTCGCTTCTTTATTAAAAAAATCCACTCCCGTAGACGATAATAGTAATTACTGTTGAAAAACGCCCACGAGTTGAAGCGGGACTACTACTTCGCGTGTCGATTTTCTCACGTTTAATTCGTTCCTAATTATAATTATCGTGCAAACGTAAAAGGGAAATTGTTGCTTTAAGAAAAACTCGTACCTAATTAATCGATAATGACTCTTGCAACTGTTTGGAGAAAATTCGAAACTGTTTAAAGGTCGTAGGGCAAGGATCACTCTTAAATTAGTGCATTTTATGCAGCAATTTCTGAAAATTTATACGGGATTTTGTGAAATTTTTTTCTCTATCTAGTGTAGCGTGAGAACTTGGGCCTCGGGCCGAAAGATTTGGAATTTCATCGATGCCAGTTAATCAATGAGTTAAGAGATTTCTTAGTCTACACCCTTCATTTTCTAATAAAAAGATGAATATTTAGCCCGCGAACACGCGCAACCTTCCATACGTACACGTGAGACTACCCAAAGTGTCATAGACCATAATTAAGAGAGCATTATTAACGTAAAAATGCATAAAAATTAAGGAACCGATCGGGACGAGAAATTAATTAACCTTACGTAAGTTAATTGTATTTTAATCCTGCAAAAAAACGGTTTAGTTGGATGATAAAGAAGGATTTAGCAGGAAGGATGGGCCTAGAAGGAGCGAAAAGTTATCTTTAATACAAGCGTGTTTGTCCCGGTTCCTCCTCTATCTATAGATCATCGTTGAATGTGCAGTGGCCATCTCTCACGGTTAATGTGGCGACTCGTGACACGTACTGTCGCACTTTCCATTAGCGCTTCGCTTCTACTGATGGACTGTAAACTGTAGTCGCAGCATTGATCCACATTCCCGAATAGAATTAGCCAAAGTGGATGTTGAACGTTTCGAGAAAGAAACCCTCCGAAGAAGAAGAAGAAGTTATCTAAAGATAAAGCTTCTCCTTTCCTCTACGAGATGACAAAGTTATTACGTCCGTGCTCTACTACAATTTGTTCTTTGTGACGACGAAATTTCCACTTTAACTTTGCTTTCTCCGCTTCTGCTATCGATGGATGTAACGTTTGGATTTAATTAATTTTATGAGATTTTTTTCAACGTCATTATTGACATCCACTCTTTTATCTTCTCCAAATTTAAACTTCACTCCAAGTTTGAAATTCTTTATTGGAAAGAATCCTAGCAAATAGATGCGCTTTCATCATCTGCGGAATGACGATGATGTTTTTCTTAGCCAATCTGATACAGACTATCTATGACGTAACAACTGATGCTTTATCTATATAGACCTTTAAGTATCACGGTGATAATGACGACGTGCAGGTTAGACATGGCCTATTAGTGACGGCATTACGTGCTTTTCTTTGAAGATTCCATTGGCAAAATGTTAGTGTTCCGCCGTCTTTTAAAGCGTTTACTCGCCTCCCTTTTTTTTAATTTTCTGTACCCGATTGTCGACTGGATCTTAAATTTCGGTATCGACCATTCGTTATCTCCAACGTCACGTTTCTCTCTGCAAATTTTTAATATTTTAAAGATAAATATTATTATTATATAGGAGGCAATGGATGGTGGGGAAGAGACTCGGCCCGTTGGCAACACTGTAATTTATAGATAATCTAATTGTACAACAATAAAGGGAAGCAAAGCAAATCAAATAATGGATCCGACTTATTAATCTTGTTTTACTTTGTCGCCCCTCGTCCTTTTGTCTTGTCGAATTCTTGCGCTATCTCTTCGGGACATATCTGGAAAGTAAAGACAATGGAATGCTGCGCATGAAGCTTTTATCTTTTGTCCGCACTTCGACAAGAGAGAGGGTGGATGTTGTGAAATGTACTCCTCTATCTTCCGACAGCCAAACAAAGTAAACAATGGTACTTGACATTTCTGCATTCTCCCCATTTCAAAGATGACGTAATTAATTAATGTTTAAGCGAAAATGCAAAGTTGTGCAGCTTCCGTTCTCGTGTGTAAGATCAACAAAATGGGGGGAGGGAAGAAGGGATGGTCTTTGCATAAGGCGATAATTAATGAAAATTTAGATGGAGATGACAGATTCTTCTTTTGTTCCTTTCCTTTCGCCATTTGTTTAGGAAATTCTCGTGTCTGACTATGGCCGAAAACAATCGAAAACTCCACCAGCGTCACGCCAGTCGACCAATCTTTCCTATAATTTTAAATTATTAAAAAAAGTTAAAATTTCCTGTATAATTCGGGTATTAAGTTCGTATATTTTTATAACCGTAAACGATTTAATTTTGTCGTAATAAATATTTATTACGATGGAATTTGTTAATAGGTTGGCATAATACGCGCAAAATAAGCTAAATGCGTATTATTGAATTAATTTGAAAAAACGGCAGTCTCGTGTTGTTCTTTCCACGGACGACACCTTTTGTTCAAGATGGCCACCCGTATAGGAGGTGCGAAATGTCATCCGTCATGTCATCAACAGTCATATCACTGTCATACAACACTACAGAGCACCGACCAATCGGGGGAAGCGAAAGAGGGGGTGGTCCATGCTGTAATTACGTGTTGTTATCGCCCCCTCCTCTTTACCCCCTCGTGTTCCTTCTTGGATGTATTAGGTTCCTGGAGGAAGTAATCGCATTACTGGAACGTAGTGGTGGAACCAGTGATGCGTTGTACTAATCCCCTCAGTCCCATTGTACTGATTAGATCCGCATCAGGCACACGGAACACAGAAAGCGCAGAGGAAGGTGAAGGGGGAGCGGAACAAATGGCAAAGCTACAGGAAACTAATGTCGGGGTGGGGAAGACGAAAAAGAGCCTTGGAAGCCCAACTGCTTGTTGTATGTAAGGGTTAGACGAGGGATTTCCTTTCTTGATCCCCTTCGAGTGCAGCCAGTAAACATCGCTTGGCCAAACAGTTAACTAATTGTTTTACGCCGTTCCGGATAAAAACTTCTTAAATCGTTGGGGGATTTGTAAGGTTTGTTTCGGTAACCTCGTTTCTAAGATGGCGCGTCGTCGACGAATAATTCGGGATAGAATTTCTCCCCCTTCGACCGGGAGGTTTAGAATCCTTCGACCTTCATCAATCTAGCAATGGCGAAGAGCGCTCGGCCCCTCGCACGTAAGAAGCGCAGATTATCAAACTAGCAAAAGAGAATAAACGACTTATAGCGAGATATTACGGTGACAAATCGAATATATAGTCTACTAGCTTCCGAGGAGATCATTTCGCTGCCATCCATCCCAATTTCCCAGCATGGGAAGATGACAATGCTTCCTCCTTTCTGCATTACAATACCTTCTTAGACTGTGCCGAATCGAAGAGGGCAAGAAGAAAATTTCCAGCGACAACCTCCTCCTCCTCCAGTTAGATAGCCGGAAACTACGGGTCGTCCCGAATGCCACTCCATCCGTAAATGGCGGGGCGAAACTTAAACGGAGAGAAGAGTTGGAAAATAATCACCATCTCGTTAGAAATGGCGTCAGGATATTAGGAGCTGCAGCAAGGAAAATCTTGTTTAACGAAGGATGAAGTGAGTGGCTGCTCTTACCAAAAAGGGGGGACGGCTAGCGAAACTCGTAAAATATGCATCCGCTGTTGCTGATGTCATTTTGCAGTCTTGATGCATTGAAAAGTGATTGAATCAGCAGAGACATGACATGACAATATCCATGCCGAAGATTAAATTATTCAAGATCTCTTCCTGTCACGCTGCAGCGATAAGGACGTTTCGTTACCCCATTTCCACCTTTCTGCTACTCGCCCGCTGGCGTTTCGTCCACTCTCTGTGTCGGGGGCCTCTCTGTCCCTTTCCATCTCTTGGGGTATGAGCCCAGACCACGCGTCTGCGTGTCCTAATTTCACTCTTACCAATTGTGCCACTAAACTCTGCATTTTGAATGCAGGTAGAAGGCTGTTGGAGCTCCCAGATGACGACGAAGAAGAACTTAAGACGCAATGATTTTTCTCTTGCTAATTTTGTGTCAACCGAGCCCCAAATTAGCATCGCCTGCAAACGTTAAAAGGCCAGCCAATTCTCCCTTAGCCCCTTTAAACCAGATAATCTTTATTTAAAAGAGGCGAGAGTAAATTTTATTCTATGGAAAAGCGTGGAATAACAAATATTTGTTTTTGGCAAAGTCGAAACAGCTGGAGTAAGAATCCCTATATTTACAGAATATAAAAGCACGGTGTACGAACAGAATCTGGGATTTAAAATTCTCCCAGACGTGTATAAAAGGGGAGCAAAGGGGGAGGAACATAAATCCCACAACTTCCGAAAGCGAATTTTTATGTCTGAGCCAGAATAGAGGGAAGTAATCCTTTTTCTCGCAATCTCTTAGCCTCGGGGATTTCCTAAAGTTCTGTAGACTTTAAGTATCAGGGAAACAGTGTGCAGCCTGTGATGGAGTCAACGACTTGACACCCACTCGCACTCTCCCGCTCCACCCAAGATCCGAGCTGTACTTATTCAATTTTCCTACGGATTTCACTGTCACGCAAAGTTTTATTCATGCACGTGTCAAGCAAAGGAGATGTCAATAAAAAATGTCAGGACACGAGGCGAGAGACGTCACCTCGGTGCCCAATCATTTGCAGGTGGCAATTTGGGGGTTGTTAGGGACCCGGTGACAGACTTTCCCCCTTATTGTCAGCGGGCGAAATGACAGCTAACTTTTGACAGTTCCGTGTGAAAGCGTTGTTTGTGCCCCCGTTGGCGACCCCCCTCTCTCTTGTGTAGAAGTTGCATTAATTTTACGGATTTTATTGTAAAGAGCTTTTTCTTATCAGTTTTTGCCGAGTTGCGAGACTTTTTTATACATTTTTTTTCTACCAATGTAAACTGACAGTCGAGTTTCGTGATAGTTGCGCTTGATGAATTGTTCTGTGGAAAATAATGAGCTGTGTTGAAAATGCAAGGCACTTGCGCTAAAGTCGACCTGTTTATTTAATTGTCTCAGATTTTAATGTTTTTGCAACACGTTACTCAAATTTTTATGCCACTATTCTTTTGAAAACAGTAAATTATCTGCACCTTTCGCCACTCGACATTTCAAAAAGTATTCAGAGATATACGAGATAACCTCTATTTAAATTATATCATTTCGGCAACTGACTAAACATAGAAACGTAGCAAAATAAATAACCCCGAATCCTCCGTGTTAGGGAAAGTATCGGTTGTGGATGTCGTCAGAAAGTATCCAATCACTGCTAGATGTGCGCGACCTCTCCGCGAAAGGTCAGCGACCCTAGAACATCCTTTGGTGAAGATGGAGAAGAAGGAAAGAGAGAGAGGGGATGATTTATAGGAGCTAATAGGACGTCGTCAGCGGTGGCAAAGGAACGCATTAATTATCGTCAGAAGCGACATCGATGGAGTTTTGGGATTGATGGCCAACCGTTACTTACACAGAAAACTTTTCCTCTTTTTTTCCTTTCTTTCTCCCCATCCTTCTCTCCCACAACACCATTTGGAAACAGAATCTTTGGTTTGCTCCGAGTACAGACTCCAGTTTGTCTTTTACTCTTTATAGCAACTACCACTCACCCTCTGACATCTTCACTACACACTATAAATTTATATTCCCTTATATTTCCAGTACATTTTACTAAATGTATAATTCCTTTTATAAATAGAGCCATTCATTTTTTATTATTAAGTCGTTTGTTTATTTTTTAACTGTTATTTTAGCATCCTGTTTAGGAAAATATATACTAAATATATTAACTAGAAAAAAAAGTAGAAGGATCCTCGGTGTAGTGGTGATTTACGTTTCCCCCTACCATCTACGGAAAGTATCATACAAAACGGCACTCGGTCTTAATGTAACAGTGATGAAATACGTCCCTTTTATGAATCCTAAAGCTGTCAGTTGATGCTGTGATTCCTACATAAAGTGGAGTTGTAAAGTCTGCAACGGTATGGGTGGTTGACAAAATCTAAACACTCGTAAAGTCATACGTGACGTGTTTACACAACAATGACGATAAAAAGAGGCTGCAACCATTGTCATGCCAAGATAAACAGGTGTCATAAAGTAAGAAACATCCCTTCACTTCTCTATCATTTCCTCACCCCCAAATCGATTACATCAACGCTGTCTAAATTAAACGTTTTTCTATATGAAAATCTTATACATTGAAAAATTATTATGTATTTCCCTTACCATTTTATAAATATAACTATATTTAGATGGGGTGGGATGTTGGAGATGTTCTTTCTCCTTCCTAATATAGATAAGGTTAAATAGTAAATTCTTCAACAGCCTCTTTGAGAAGCTAACCGATCTCCTGCTGATAGAAACTCACCAGGATGCTCGTATATGTAAATAGGAACAAATTGATTTGAAAGGAAGAAGGGGAGCTCCACTGGGGTAAATGTAAAGTGCAAGAAGGAAGAGTGTAAGCAAAGATTATTTAGTTACACACGTCCCTTTTTTCTCTCCAAATCTAAACACTCGTTTTTAATTTCTTAATGTATTTCTTTACTTGTTTACAATAGAATTTTAACAATTATCAAGTGTTTAATACATTCGAAATTCGGCACATGTATTCTGAAGCATAATTTTGCCATCTTTCTAAATTCAACGGATTACGCCAATTTTTTTAAACGAAATTCGCCTGACAGAAACAATCAATAATGATCTAAGAAAAACATGTTTGGTGGCCCAAAAGTCAGTGAAGCCGTGACTTTTTACAAGTAATGTTTCCAACTAATAAGGTATTTAAATAAGACAGTTTAGGTTTAACAATGGTTAACTGACTTTTGGACCACCCTGTGTGTTATTCAGTACAGTGTTTGTAAACTGGAAGTTTTAGGATTGAAACTTGTGAATTTTGATAACCTTTTCCTCGTATCATCGTGCCTTAAATAGTTAGGCTACATCCGTTGAAAACAGGGAAAGTTTAGCTTTTAAACCAGCAAAATCATTATAAAAATAAAAATGATTAAAAAACGAAAAAGATTTAATGAATGAGGCGTGGTTAAACGAAAAGAATTTAGTTTAAAGTGTATGCATAGGTAATTCCCTTCATCAGATTAAGAGAAGGCATAAAACAATCCCCGCAGCTGAAAGGGAGGATTCTGAAGGAAGAATTTCAAAACTGGCAACGCCCTAACCTGACCTTACATAAAGGTCATTGTTCTCTTCTCCAAGGGTTTCGAGTTACGGGGGGTGGGAAGTATCCGCATACGTGAACACTTCTCCCTCCGGTGAAATAACTTAAGAAATTCTTTCATTCGTTAAGACCCCACTGGGTTGTCTGGGCTCCCTCTTGGAGGGAAAAGAAGAAACTATTTTATGCTAGACGAGTGATGTAAAAAGTGTCAGTTTAGTTAACAATGGAAAGCGCGAATTAGTATCCCCCCTTTAAAATTGTACAAGATAAGTTAATCATGGAAGCCGTCCTTCATCGATTTACTTTCAGTTCGGATGTCAGACAAGTAGAAGTAAAAGAATTTGACGCATCTCCGAACTAAACAATAAAGATTGTATTTACGAGGCTCCGGAATCCCATTAGCTGTAGTGGAAGGCACGAGGAGACCCTCTGCCAAATGTCACACCGATCACCAGTACCTGTAAAGCTTGCAGTCACGCTGACATTACATTGTCACCAGTGACTATTCCACGTGAGAAGTCACACAAATGACCTGTCATCCAGGTTGTAGCGACTGCTGTAGCACCCTCATTACTACAGATTTATGTAGGTGCAACCGGGACCGTTCGAATTAGGCATCAAACGTGATTTACCACACTTCTACCCCCGTGATAATTTTTTAAACTTGAATTATCACCGTTTCTAGACAGATTTATGCAACTTTTTCTTTCTTTCTTGTAGCATCCATATCCATCTGAAGATCAGAAGAAGCAATTAGCGCAAGACACTGGGCTTACTATTCTTCAAGTTAATAATTGGTAAGTGTATTTTTATTCTTATAAATCGGCCAATGCCGCAAAGGGGCGTTCACTTTGTGCTGGCATTTAATGAAGGGTTCTTTGAAGAAACCGGGTTATTTTGCAGCTTATTCTATTTTAATAAAAACTCTTTCCTGTTATTTACATCTTTTGTCATGCGAAAGCAAAACTCGAATGCTCGAGGAGCCACCGACACGGTTTTATTATAGAAGCAAAGCTGCAGCAGTCTAATTAATAACCTTTCTGCGGACGGTGTGAAGGTCGCGAACAGACCCGGAGGGCTTCCTATGTGTTGTGTATAGGATTTAAGAATGGGGAGAAAGAGATTTGGAAAGGTGGAGAGAGCTAGCTTACACATTTTCCACCTGTCTTTGTTAAGAAGGGTAAAGGAGCCATCTGGTACAGTATGCACCTCGAGTCGTGATAGACGAGCCAGAAGGTGGGTGGTCAACACACCAAGGGGTCTAGCCATCATTAAACGCCCTTCTACCGCTATTCCCGAACCAGGTGTGCTTTGGTCTAAGCTTTGACATAGCACAGATGGCAGGTCTGTCCAGACACAGCATGTGTGGCCCCGGTCTGGGAGACAAAAGCGGATAAATTAATTCGCGTTTTGGATGTTCGGCTGGGTTCTGGAATTTTTACGGAGCGAAAAAATGCCTGCAGACGTTCTTAGAGATTGCTATTGAAGTGGTGGCAGAGCCAAAAGAAGAGAGAGTAAAAAACAGGAAGAGAAACGGGAGGGAAGCCAACGAGCTAGTAAAAGGCAAATAGTAGCGATGGAGAAGGTAAGATGGCCGATGCGTTGTTGTCCCTATGGCTCTCATGGGAAACATCGGGATCTCGCACCGTCACTTAATAACACTGTTTTAAAGTTGCTAAACGGAATGGAGAATGGGAACATTTGGCGCCCCCAGGGACGAGGAACCGGTAATCAGACTTAGTCTCACAGTATGCGAGTATAAAACAGTCATGTGCACTCTCTGGGGTGTTCTGCAATGTTTCGCTCCGCTGATTGGGTAATCAGTCCGTGTTCTTCTTGTTTACCCTCGTGTGTGTGGGCTCGTTTAGCAATTAACTGTCTTATATTTATCAAACGCCTTGCTTTTATAATTCTTTCGACACCGCCCCTACCTATTGAAAAGGGGGGTCAAGAACGAAAATTTTCCATATCTCCGGCTTTAAATAAATGCAAACCCGCCTCTTAAAACTAGAAATTTATGCGGTCGAGAAAAAAGTCGGCAAGAAGTATATAAAATGGCGCTGCTCTTTACCACAGGCCCATTCTAAATATTGATAGAAACTGTTAACAATGCGAAACATTTAATTGCATATCAAATACCGAAACAAGAATCCGTTTTCCACTCGGAGGAACAACAGATACGGGATATGATTTCCTAACCTGGTCGCAGATAAATTCTAACCGTCCTACACTTCTCCAACGTTCTCTGTGCACAAGGTGTGTAATGAGCGCTGTACTTGGTGGGATGTAATAATGGGCAGAATGGCAAAGTCTGCTGCTCTTAGTGAATTACTAGCTTAATTACGGCCGGTAGCTTCTGCTGCTGGTAGCACTCGGCCGCAGCTAACTGCTACTTGGTAAATGTTGCCCATTACTGTTTGGTCAGTCGGAAAGTGCAGCGCTCTCTCTCGCTCTCCCCCTCCCCCTCCAACACTTTTATATATTCTGGCTCTGGGGTATGTCGAGGTGTCGAAGAGAGACCCAATTTTCCCTTGTCACTTTTACTTTGATTTTTCCCCTCCCGTAGATGGGTCGAAAGCCGATAAGTTTCATTACGTCGTTGTCTCCGATTTCATCCGTGCTCTCTCGGTTTTCCGAACGTAAATGGAGTCGAAAATTGTCTCCAATGGTTAAAGTAATTCTGTAGTGTAAGCGTAGTTTTGTCTTCGGATCTACCGGGCTGGCTTTAAAGCACTAAAGTCTTCGTCCTCGACATTCTTGGTTTTTAATGGGATCGATGCTCGAATCCAGCTCTGGATATTCTAGAAAATTTTCACATTCATTAATTAAAATTCTCTAAATTTAATTAAGTATTTTAAATGCAGTTTGTGACAGTTTTTAGTTGGATTTTTTGTAATTGTGTTAATTCTTCCCCCGCTTAAAATTTATTCTTTAATATTTTAATTCTATAAACAAATAATAGAGTTTAGAAGATATTTTTTCAATTGTAGAAAACCTAGAAATGAGCAAATAATTAGAAAAATGACGGGAAAATATGTTTATTGGCCTCAGTCTGCTAGAATAAGTGGAGTATTCTTACAAAAATTGATTTTAGTTTAAAGTGATCCAACTTATCTCTATCCCTACCGACAATAATTTGTTTCTCGACTGGAAGATGTTCTTAGTCGATACGGATGAAATGAGCTGTCTCCATTTTGAATGATCACATTCGGCTGATACTAAACAGTTTATCGAGTTGTCCAAATTCATTTGAGGAGACGGCAGACGTCACCTCCCACCATTGTCCTTCCTAATTCTTTTTTTTTTCATCCTCCCTCGGAGTTACCTTCCATACTACACGGAGCGTGACTATATAAAGCCTCGAGGCCCCAAGACGGTTTATCGTGGTGTAGAAGCCCCGTGTACCGATAAATCCCCCCTTCTTTTTTCTATCTCTCTCGCTTCCCCGATGGAAACTAAGGGCACTTGACAGATTGCGAACATTTTATCGATTAAAGGAAAATACTTATTAATGTTAGATTAAAGAATTTTAGCCAGTTAAAAGGAGAATAAGTCGGTCCCGGAACAGCCCAATTATCGTAGCGAGGAGGAGGAGGCCATGGTCCGAAAATGGAGATTTCTTTAATTGAATCACCTCCCGGCTAAACACAGGGTTCGATAATTTACTGAGGAAGGGAGGAAAACGGTTGTTAGACGGTTCCTACTTTTAACAACTGTTCCGACATTATAGAGAAGGGAGATTGCTGGTTAAATTTCTTTTAGTTAATAGGGATGTTCGGGAGCACGGACGGGAATTAAGGATAGGAGCCAACCAGAGCACGGTTTACGATATTTATTCTATAATTAAATCTTGGATAGTTTAACGTAATAAATTATAACTATTGAGGGTTACATTCGAGTGTTTGCTTAAGAATTGCAGCGGAAGTCTAGGTTGGTATAATGGAAGATAATCGCTAACACGCTCGATGTTCGGACGGCATTGTTGCCTATGGATGCACGTGCGGTCGCATCTACCCTAATACAACTAAAACACATTAGGGCAAGCAATTATAGAGAGCGAAAAAATAAAAATCCTCATTGAATAGGGGCGCGGAAGGCGAGAGAAATCCAAAATCCACCCCGATCGTAGGTGAACGTGGCGAGCTCGCTTCATTAAGGTATCTTGTCATCCGGCGACCAAACACGATAAATTTAACGGGGAGAGCGAATCTAGCGAGAGATGACCAAAGGGGAGATGGGGAACTATAATAACGCATTGAGAAGGAGCTGCAGATCTGTCATTACCAGACCCGAAGCTGGTGGTGTGTTGTTCATTACCTTTAACAACTGACCTGTCATTGCCACCTGACAACTTCTGCGGCAGTCTTGTCGTGGGGCCGGGTAAAAAAATATTATATATATATATATATATATAACCTGCTCAGTATGAAGATCCCCGTTGTCATAGTAACGCACTACCTGTACTTGGGGAGATAAGGGGGTGAGAGATTAGACCCGTCTCTATTCTGAACTCCTTCCATCAGCAGTTTTATCGTTAGCTGGTTCCACCGTCCCGCATATTTTTTCTTTTTTCCTCTGGTATTTTTTGTTTCTGTCAAGAGAGAAAAAGATAATTAACTTGCCAGATGGAAGAGTAGCGAAAGAAAATGGAGAAGATGTGTTACAGCAGTTTTTTTCCTTGGTCGTTCGGGATATAAAAATTTTCTTAATGTTTATGTAGGTGTATTTTGATATTTTTAATGACAGACCATCGACTACTTTGATAACCTCCTTAATTTTCAAACTGCTATGATGAAGGAGATGCTAATTTTTCTAACAAGTTCCAAGGTAAGAGAATTCTCTAAGGATTTATCTACTACAGAAAGGTTGTTTATGTATTAAGACACCTTGTAATTCTTCGGGGACGTGCGAAAAAGATATATCTATTGCATAAATATATAGGTCTGTGGCCATTAGATTAAGAGGTACAGTACCGTAGGTGGAAAGTTTAAAGTGAACTTTATCCACCGTTATAAAATGATTTTCGGGAGTACAAGAGATCCTCGGAGAAGGCGTTGGGCCACTTAAATTTAAAGTAGAGAAAGAAAGAGCCCGGGGCAATCTTCTCGGAGCGTAAAGAAACGCCTTACAATGGGTAGAAGATCATTTAACAACAGCTTGGGTTGTACAAAATAACCTTGTAAGTTAAAAATACCCGTTAGAGCGTTTCCAGTCTCCACTAAGCTTTTACATCACGAGAGGAAGCAATGTAGTCTCGTCTCTTGTATATATTCTACAGATGGCAAAATCGCCTTAGAGATTTAACATTTCGAAAATTTTGCGGGATAGGACGCAAAATGTCATAACCTTTCGTATCCAAAGAAGAGAAGGGAGAGAAAGAGAGGGAAAAAAGGAAGACAGACTGAGGTAGTTAAGCCCAACGTAAAAGAGCAAGCAGACGAAGAGGAGGAGGAGAATGGGGGAGAGTCTGCAGTGATGGGGATTCTACTTGATGGAATAAATGAGCTATGAAAGCAGCCAAAGCGGCAGTGCCCAACGGAGCGGAGCACCAGCATTACCGGCCGTGTGTGACGTGGCCCACTACTCCCGAAGCTCGTTTTCGGCGACTTCCTATAAACTCCTTCTTTCCTACGTTCAACATCGTTACCGCAAAAATGGTAGGGCGCATTGCACTTCACCAAATTCTACCAAACAATAATATTAACCGAATTCTCCTCTTAGATTTATCTCTTTTTTTCCATTTTTACAAGGCACCAGCGCGTCTACGGCACGGGATATGTAAGAGGTAGAAGGTGAG